CAGATCTGACCAGAGTCATTAAAATTGTCAAGAGTGTTATGGTAATTTGGTGGCCATTGGTCACTATGCTCTTTTTTTCTGTTTTTGGAGATCTTTCAGAATTTTTTCATGGAACCGTATTACTTGCTGTATGATTCCTGTAGTGCAGTTTACCATTTCCAGGGGCTGGATTAAGGTTATCATTTTTTTGTACAGTGTAACACTGTTTGGGAAACTAATCTGGTATTTGTATTTGATGTTGCAGTCATCTTCATACTATGGGAACCATATCTTGGAAATTATTAATAATTTCACTCTTTACTTTGTCTCCTTAGGGAACCAGGCTATGGGGGAGATAAGCAGGAATGTTCAAACCAGCCTGTTAATATTGCTCTGCCTACTGAATGTGTATCAGGTTTTATTTAAGGTTAAGCGACTATTTATGAATATCCCCCACAAATCTGGCCTGAGGCGTGCTTATTAAGGACAAAAACTCCTACTAAAATGAGGATGGAAGGAGAAGATGAAACAGGGCCATCAAGAGCACAGGAGGAAGATTCTGAACTCATAACCCTTCAACCCCTAACTTGGAGTAAGCTGCAAGATTTCAGCTGTCATCCAGCTGAGCATACTGTCACCTGATTGCTCCAGTGCTGGGATAACGGGGCCAGTAGACTGGAGTTACTGGGTAGTGAAGCCAGGCAGCTGGAATTGCTGTCTAGGGAAAGGAGCATTGACAAAGCAATTTGAAAAGATACACAAGCCATCACCCTATGGAGGCGATATGTGTCAGCTGTGAAGGAAAAATATCCCTTCATGGAAGATCTGGTGTGTTTCCTAGGCGTGTGGAGCACCATCGAGAAAGGTATGCAGCACCTGAGGGAAGCAGCTGTGCTGGAGGTGACGTATAACGTTAACCTGGACAATGGGAAGTTATTCCAAGATCTAGATGATATCAAGTGCCCGTGATCTATGTGGTAGAATATTGTATGGAGTACACCATCATCATATGCCAGCACACTGGCAGCAATGGTCTGAAAAGATAATTAAAATCCAACAGTGGATGAAGTGGCCAGCCTACTTCAACAACACAAATAAAATTTCTCTTTTTCCCCGTGGGCCTGTGACTCAGATGTGGAGAAACTGTCTTTGGAGTTCCAGCAGTTCAAAGACATTATGTCCTATTCCCCATCTGTTTGGACCAGTTTCTCAACTACTAGAAGTAAGTGTTCCTCTGCTTGAGGGGGGGAACGTAGTGGGTACACACCATGAGCTATCCTGTGGTTTTACCCATGTGACCATGGAGAGGGCATGAGGAAGTGGGGTAGAAAATCCACCTCCACTCTAAAGGCGCTGGTAAAAGAACTGCAAGAAACAACAATTGGAAAAAAAAAAAAAAAAAAGATTCTTCCAGGAAAATGGCTGCTGCATTTTCCAGTGGGCAGTCTTTGAGACAGGATGGTCTGATTGTGCTTCTGACATTGATAATTAGCATTTTAATTTGCATTCATGAGAAGTGAGTGATGTATACAATAACCAGGACTTGAAGGGCCCTGCCTCCAGCCAAGTGGAGGAAATGGACCACTGGTTTTATTGGACTGTGCAATTCAGTGGCCTGGCACATCAGAACTATATGTGTATCTGTCTTTCTGGAGTGACAAGGGTATCCCAAGCGCTGTGCTGGAAGCCAGAATAAGCCTAACAGGGAATATGTGGCAAAAGCACCCCATTGTGACTGGCCCAGAGACTCTGTGCATCCTTGGTATAGATTACTGCAGGAGAGGGTACTTCTAGAACCCAAAAGGGTACCAGTGTGCTTTTGGCATAGTTGCCTTGGAGATGGAGGAGCAAGTGATCAGCAAGACTCACTCACCCTTTAACAGCCCCATATGGCCAATGCGAAAGTACAAGGGAGAATGGAGGCTGACAGTGGACTATTGTGGCCTGGATGAAGTCACGCCATCGCTGAGTGCTGCTGTGCTGGACATGCTTCAACACAAACTGGAATCAAAGGCAGCCAAGTGGTACACCACAAATGATAAGCCAGTGCATTTGTCTCAGTCCCTCTGGCGGCAGAGTGCAGGCCACAATTTGCTTTCGCTTGGAGGGGCGTCCAGTACAACCAGAATTGACTCTCGCAGGGGTGGAAAAAGCCCTAGCGTCTGTCATGGGCTGATCCAGAATGCATTGGAAAAGGGGGAGCACCTGCAATACATTGATGAAATCGTCATGTGGGGCAACACAGAAGTTTTTGAGAAAAGGGAAGAAAACAATCCAAGTGCTTCTGAGAGCCAGTCTTGCCATAAGGCAAAGTAAGGTCAAGGAACCTGCACAGGAGATCCCATTGTTAGGAAAAAAATGGCAAGATGAACATTATCAGATCCCTATGGATGTGATAAACAAAGTAACTGCTATGTGCCCACTAATGAGCAAAAAGGAAACAAACTTTCTTAGTCTTTTTGTTTTTGAAGGCAAATTCCGAACTGCAGTTCGGTTGTAAACCCTCTCTATCAAGCGACCTGGAAGAAGAACGATTTCACATAGGGCCCTGAACAACAGACCTTTTAACAGTTTAAACAGGAGTGCTCATGAAGTAGCCCTTGAGCCAGTCCGAGGAGGACAAGATGTAAAAAACACACTCTACACTGAAGCTGAGGAGTACTTGGGGACTGACAGAATCTGACTCGATATCAACACCTGGGGTTCTGGAGGCAGGAATACAGAGGATCCGAAGCCTTGCTATATTCCAACCAAAGAGAAATTGGCAGCGTATGAAGGGAGCTGGAAAAACATCAGAGGTGGAAAGTTGCTGTATGGAGCCCTACACAACAAGTTGCAGAAACTGCTTAAGCAGAAAGTGAATTGAGCCAATTTGCAGAAGTGAAGGCCATCCAGCTGGTTTTTGATGTTGCTGGACGAAAGTAACCAGCACTTCATCTCTGCACTGACTCACTGATGGTGGCAAAAGCCCAAAGGGGGTGGTTGCAACAATTGAAGCAGAACAACTGGCAGGGCAGAGGCAAATCCATCTGGGCCACTGCGCTGTGGAAAGTTATTGTATCCAAGGCAGAGAACATGGCTGTAAAGGCACATCATGTAGATACTCACAAACCCAAGCCATGACACAGAAGAACATTAAAACTGACTGATGACAGTGTGCCTGGGACCAGGCTTGTCCTGGCCTCAACAGTGTAGCAGCAGAGGAAAGGGCAGAGCCAGGAGACTGGCAAAAGGTTGTTCTATGCCATGTGAAGTTATGCAGAAGTCTGTAAAGTTGTGGGGAATTGGCTGATGGGCAGCTGCTGCTTGGGGGTTGCTGAGTGTTCTAAGAGCAGGAGGTGAGGCTTTGCATTGCTGGCAGGCTCTGGCTGGCAGGCAGTTGTGTTGTTAAGGGGTGTCAGTCGGCAGGTGGTGAGCAACTGCATTGCAGCTATATGTATATGCATATATGTATATTGTTATCATTGTATATTTGTTTCCATGTTCCTCTTCTCTCTTTAGTAAACAGTTCTTATCAACTCATTAGTTTTATTCTGCTTCCAATTCTTTCCCTCATCACACCTGGGAACAGTGAGCTCCTGGCTGTGCAGGGCTGAGCTGTTGCTGGGTCTGGTTATAGGCTCTGACATGGAGGGAATGCTGGGCACCACCAAGCAGCACTCACATGGATTATCAGGGATTGACTGTAGCTTGTTCTCTTTTTTTGAGAGAACTATGAACCTGAACCTGGCCTATACACCACTTCATTTTTGGGCAAATGATAACTGTAGAATCACGGAATTGTTGGGGCTGGAAAGGACCTCTGGAAGTCAACAAGTTCAACTCCCCACTAAAGGAGGTTCCTACAAACAGGACAACATCTGGGTGGGTCTTGAGTATCTTGAACAGAGGGTGAAACTCTATAGCCTCCCTGTGCAGTTTGTTACAGTGCTCCATCACTCTCAGGGTAAAGAATTTTTTCCTCACGGTTGTATGGAGCTTCCTGTGTTCCAATGTGTGCCCACTGCCCCTCGGTCTATTGCTGAACACAACTGAAAAGAGCCTGGCCCCATCCATTTGGCTCCCGCGCTGGGAGTGGGTATTTATAAGCACTGACACCATCTCCTCTCGGTCTTTTCCCTTCCCCAGACAGAAGAGTCCCAGAGCTCTCAGCCCCACCTCGTATGGGAGGTGCTCCAGGCCCCTCATGAGCCCCTCATGGCTGAGAGGACTCAAGTTTCATAGATGAAGGAGTTACTCGCAGTTCTGTCTGCTGTTCACCTGCCCGCAGCTCAGCTCTGCAGTGCAGTCAGCAGTGTGTAAGTGGCTCTCATTCCCAGTGCAGAGCAGTTACAGCAGATGTCAGAGCTCAGAACACTTCCTCCATCAAAAAGAGATACAATCCAGCACTGGCGTGAAGCACAGAGCTTATTTGATGCCCCTATGATGCTCCTGGGTCACACGTACGGCATCTCACACCATAACACTGCCATACGAGCAGCTTCCACCATCAGCAACATCTCTTCAGGAGGCAGCCAAGGATGCAGCAGGACCCCCTCAGGCGGATTACAGCTTCAGACCCCTCGTTACTCTCTTAACGGGCTGTGAACCTGATGGCAGTGATGAGTTTAGAGAGACCTCCCACACCAGCTGCGCGCCCCAGCAGGGTGGCGGTGAGGGAGCACCAAAATGGCGGCCCCGGCCCCTCCAGGCAGCGCCGCGGTCGCCCCGGGCAGGCGCAGGGAAGGAGCGGCCGGGCCGCGGGGAGGTGCTGCCGCGGTGCCCGCCCCGCCGCCTCCGGGCTCCGTCGTGCGGCCTGGTTGCGCCGTGCGAGCGGACGGAGCGGTAGGAGGGGGCTGGGGCGCCGTGCTGAGACCAGCCCGTGGGCTGGGGGAGGTGGCCCCGCGCTGAGCTTAATGGGGCTCCTATGCGGTGGGAGCGACGGAGGATGCGGGGGGGAGGCCTCAGGTGCAGCGGGTGAGACTGGGACTGGGAAGGGGGCACAGCGTGAGAGGTGGGGCTGAGTGTGTGAGGGGGGGATTCAGGCTACCTGTGGGTCTCGGCGAGCTAGAAGGGTTAGGGCTAATGGAGGGATGTTCAGGACAGTCCTGAAGGAGCCCTGGAGGCCGGTTTCTGTGCTGGAGGGGGTTTACTTGGAGCTTAGGGTTAAAGTTCCCTTCCAACCCAACCAACTCTATGTGCTGATGAAGCTCAGCAACTGACAGGCAGATTGGCAGCAGTGAGACAGGTGTGTGTGCCAGCAGGTGCCTGGTGGGTCGTGGGCTCATCTCATTGTGGCCGAGAGGAGCATGTGGGAGGGTGGCAGCAGGAGACCTGCTGTGTGACATACTCTGTAGGAGATGCAGGAGAGGAGAAATCACAGTTTGAAGGAGGAGAAGGAGGCAGTAATCTAGTACAGGAGGCAGCATCCTTATTCCCAGGAAGAAAAGACTCCCTCTTTTCCTAGGAGCATCGTTAGTACGTGCTGGGAGGAGGAGTCCCCAAACAGGCAAGCAGACGTAGTGGCTGGGGATGTTGAATGGGGAGCTGTAAATCAGCAAGCTGCTAATTAAGACTACAGAAAGCTAGTGAGTTACTAAAGATCTGTATTACTCTTTTCAGAGCTCTAGGCTGTTAACAAGCTCCCTGGGACGTGTTCTAAGCACGTGGCTCTCAGGGGACATCACTTGAGAGTGCTTTATTTTGGGCATGTTCTCGGAGGTGAAGTTCCCCGTGCCCTGGGGCCATGTGGCAGCCAAGGCCTGGGGACCCCCCGAGGGACACCCCGTGCTGTGCTTGCATGGCTGGCTGGACAACGCCAACACCTTTGACAGGCTTATTCCACTGCTCCCCACAGGTGGGTCTGTCTCCCTGGCATGGTTCTTATTGTGTGGCACGGCTGTGTCTGACGCTCTCTGCTTTTCAGATTGCCGGTACGTGGCAATGGATTTTTCTGGCCATGGCTTGTCATCTCACCGGCCTGCAGGCTCCCCTTACTATTTCCTAGATTATGTGAGCGATGTGCGCCGCGTGGCAGCTGGTGAGTAGCTGAAAGGGCCCTTGAGGAGATGACTGTGTAGGGGGTGCTGTCTCACTCCTGCTCTTTGGAACAAGTCAGCAGCATCAAGTGCTGGGAGGGAGCACCCTCTGCTTCTCTCCAGGCTAAGCTTAGCTGGTGCTTTGTTAAACTGACTCCTGCTCTGTGGGTTTTTGATTTGTTTGTTTTTTTTACTGAAACAGTAAACCCTGGGAAGGAAATGTTTCTGTACTGAAAAGCAGTGGTAGTGGCTGAGTGGTGGATGCAACTAAGTAACTCCCCCAGACTGACATTTCTTAAGCAGGCAGCAACCTCCAACCAGAGTTAGATGTTAACTGGAGAGTCTTCTGGTTCTCCGCATTCACAGGTTGGTGGTTGCTTTAGGGCCATGCAAAGAAATCTGAAAGCCAAGGTGCGTTGGGCTCTAGTAGCATCTGGTCTGACTACATATTTGTATGCCGATTGTGAGGGAGCCAGTGGTAGCTCTTCAGTGTTTCAGAGTGTAAAATATGCCTTTCAGCGTGGTATGTTTCAGATGGCAGCATTGATGAAGCAGTATTTTCCTATAAGTCTCCCAGAGCCCCCTAAAAATGGACTGAAGAGCTGAAACTGATACACTTCCTGGTACAAAGAGCTTTCACTTGGGATAATGATACGTTCCCCATGGCAGCAATGCTGGCCGTGTCGTTGCAGCTCGTGCTGCATGCCTTGTAGGAGCACCCTCCTACAAGGTTTCCCCCTTTCAGTGGGTGCTGCACAGTGAGGCTCCTTTTTTAGTTGCCAGTCTCATGTCTGGCAGTAAATGGGAATTTGCAGTAGCTTGTTTGCAGTGCAGAGTGTACTTGAGAGCTGTGTGAGATAACTACCAAAGAAATGAGGTGGTGGATGTTCTTTTTCTTTAAAACGGGCCTACTCAGCCACCTCATTTCTGGATTAGGAAACGAATTAAGCATTGCAGCAGCTCTCATGGGAGAAGGGGCCTGTCTTAGTGGGGAAGCAGCAAGATGCCGCAGCTCTGGTTTCTAATGCATCACTGTCTGTTTTTGTCTGTTGCCACTTAGCATTGCGGTGGAGACGGTTCACCCTGATGGGTCACAGTATGGGTAAGTGGCTCTCTTCCTTGTAAGCTGTGAGATTCATGGAAATATGAGTAGATAATTAATTTACAAAGCATGCTGCTAGAAGCTGGGTTGGAATATTTATTATATTGTGTCAAGTACCAAGTTCTTGCTTGAGTGATTCAAAAATCTACATCCTTGCTTTAAATGCTTCTGTTTTCACAACACTGCAGTACAAAGGGCACTGACTGTCCCTGTGGGCATTTCCTGAGCCCCCAGGAGGGAGCCGTGATGAACAAAGAGCGATGGTCTAAGGCGGGAATATTCACAGCAGGCTTTCCTGCTCTCCCCAGGCTTTATGGCCTTGCCTTTCTTGCCCAGGGCTTCTCTGGACACAGCTCACAGTACCTGCACACCACAGTGTTTTAACTGATAACTCTTCCTTTGTCTTTGCTGCCTGAGAGGGAGATGGGGCAGGACACAGAGTCCAGCTTACCAGTCCTGCTCTCTACTTGCATCCTCTCTGCGAAGAGAGCTTTACTGTGTAGCTTGGGTGTTATCCCTTGTTACAAACACGCATTTGTGCTTCTAAGACAGCTCCTGCTTTGGGGAAAAGGTGCTCCTGTTACCAAGAGGTGGCCTGGGCATAACTGAGCACCCTCCTTTTCTTTACAGGTGGGTCTGTGGCAGGAATGGTGAGTAAAGCATACTTTCTTCGTGGGGTTTGTGACTTTTGCAGCTGGAACAACAAATGAGAGAGGAATGAAGAAACAGATTATGCGGGTCTTGGATTCTGGAGAAGGAGAGGCCCTTTTCTAACCCCACCTCCACTACAGCAAGATGTAAAACAGTACTCAATGTGCAGCTTTTCTCTGTCTCATAATGTTTCATCTTTCTTCAGTTTGCTTTCATTTATCCTGAGATGGTGGACAAGCTGATCTTGCTGGAAAACCTTGGCTTTCTACTAGCTCCAGAGGTTAGACTTCATGTGTCCTTCCTCTCTCTTTTTTAAAATATGAAGAAGTGTCTTTGTCTTCCCCTCATTTGTTCAAAAAGAACACTGATGTGCCCAGTTCCTGGCAGATCACACAATTCTTGAAACTTCTTTGGCAAGCACAGATCTGCTCCTTGTTGCATGAAGCGAGACCCTGCTTAGCATGGCCCTTGGGGAGCATCCTGCAGTCCTGTAGCACTGAAATTCACTTGTCTATGCCATGCCCATGTGCAAAAGGAACTGGAATCTCTGTCCAAGCAGCTAACTACCTGCCAAGGCTGTTTACTTGCCAAAAGCTTGTTGGTGACCTGAGGGCAAGGCTGGCAGATTTTTTTCTGCTCCTGGCAGGACATAAAGCTACATTCCCAGACTGCCATTATCACTACCAGATGCTGGGAGGTTTGATAGAAGCCTGTGGTCAGAGGCAAAAGATCCCAGATTTACCTTGTTCTTTTAGAGAGTTGTCTTCAATTCAGAAGTGAAGTGGGAGGAGGTAAAAGAGATCACAAGTGTGAAAGGTTAATAACTTCTATACAAGAGTGCTTAGTTTTCTGCTCCTATCTTGCCTCTTATGTATTGCTGTTCTCTTTCCTCAAGAAGTAGGCATTTTTAACATGTCTATAACTGGTACTAGCTCTGAGAGATGCTGATGGGTGAAATACCCTCTTCTACCCTTTGATAAAGCATAAAGTGACTCAGAAATGGGAGGTTATTCCTGCGCTGTACATCTCTTTGTTTTAGGACACTGAGGCATGGCTGAAATCCAAGCGGCTGGCTATCGATAGATTACTGAGTCTAGAAGCAAAGCAGCAAGCTCCCAGAGCACGTAGCCCCAAAGCAGCACTGCAGAGGTGGGTTCCCCCCTGTCTCTTCATTTGCTGTGCATCCTCACCTTGGGCAGTTGTGGCTGCATGAACCGTAACGGGAAACTGTCACGGTTCTGCCCATTCAAGTTCTCTTCTGGTATCTCAGCAAGACTTTTTGCTTCTGCAGTCAGCTTCCCTCTCTTCTCTGAAGCAGCCTGAGAGCTTGCTGTCACCTTGTCATGCCATTTTCGCTTCGCTTCCTCCTTTTTTCAGCAGCACAATGTCTCTGCCATGTTTCCTCCAGGCTTTTAGAAGCAAACAGACATCTGACAGCAGAGGGTGGGGCAATCCTGCTGCAGCGAGGAGCAACTGAGACACCCACTGGTAAGGGGCTGCTTGGAGACGGGGCTCATGTCAGGCCTGGCCCAACACCGGGTGTGGGAAGGGAGCAGAGCCAACAGCCATTGTCTTCCACAGGGTCCAGGGTGCCCAAGCTATGAATTTACATAGCCTGAATGGGATCAATTAAATCTGGAGGCAAAGCTCTCATTTCCCAGCAGCTGACATTGAAGCTTGAGTCCTAGAATGGGTAAAGGAAGAAAAAAAATAATAAAAATGAGATATTTGAGTTAATCCTACTCTTACCTCAAAAAAGTCTTAGGCAAACCCCAGAGGTGAGGAGCAGAGCAACTCCTGTTTCTTTGAGACATGAAAACCTGCTCTTGTTTTCCTTGCAGGGCTGGTGTATAACAGAGACATGAGAGTCCGTACGGTGAGCATTGCTGTTCTGACTTGCCCCCTGCTGCTTCTGAGCCCTGAGCTTACAGAAAACAGAGGTAGTGGAGGCCCACTAACTGAGCCCAGGCTCTGCCTCCACCCAACCATTTACTTACTGCTTTCCTAATTCCCACACCTCTTTTAAATGCTACTTTTAAAAGAGCCTGCACTTGATCATTAACTGACTCAGCTTAGAGTCACTGGAAAATGTTACTGAATTTTTTAGCAGTTCCTGAGCCCCAGGGCCTCCTGGCCACATTTTCCTGCTGTTGTAACTCTTAAGGCAGCAGATGGATGGATGTTTTAGGTCAGCTTCTTTGTCAGGTCACCCTTACAGGGAGGGGGGAGGGAGTAGAACAAAGTCTTTACATCTGATATGTTGATAGCATTGTGCCACTATTGTGTAAGAAGGGCCTCCTCTACCTGTGCTACTGCCAAGCTATGAACACCAGAGTATTGTACTATCTCCTTTTTACTAAAAGGACTTTTTAAAGCTTTTTCTTTGCTGTGAGATCATTCCCATATGTGCTGCAACCCAGCAGGCAGTGCTGTTGGCAGCCCTGAAACACATCTGGATAGAAGGAGCAGTTGCAGAGCCAGGCGCTCTTGTGTGCAGCCTGGCAGCCTGTCCTGTCTCAGCACAGCGGCTGTGGGGCCTGAGTCTCTCCTGCACAGGGCTTGGGGACACCCTCTATCCTCAGCTGCTGTTCCTGATTTTTGTTGCTCTCCCTGTTTTTGCACCTGCAGCAGAGTCGAGAGTACCTCACTGTGGAACAGTGTGTGAAGCTCCTGCAGAAGATCAAGGACCGTGTTCTCATCATAGTGTGAGTGAGGCACAAGCAAAACCAGCCTTCACTGCCACTCTGTGTGAAGCAGTGATGGCTAGAAGGGCTCTTCCCCATCTGTTCACCCTGGCTTTGAGCAAAGGGAACATCCTGGCAGACACACGAGCCTTTCCATCATCATTCCTGCATATTTCCCTTGTGGTCTGACTCTCTTCCTTCAATGGCAACAACCCATCTGCCCTCTACTCCTCTTGCTGTACAAACGGTAAAGCCACTGCAGTGCTCACCTGTTTCAGTTGGTTCTGGAGCCTGACCCAGCCCCAGGGCAGGGACGAGATGCTGGGAAGGCAGCCGATGTCTTACCTGGAGCCCCACAAGCCATCTGTCTGGTCTGGGTGTTTGTCCTCCTGCTTTTTTTGCTGTCTCCTTAGAGGGCAAGGTGTGCAAGGTTCTGGTGATGTTGGCCCACACTGTCCAGGGGAAATAAGGAGGTGCTGGGAGCTGAGAAACGAGATTCAGTTTTGGCTTCTCCAGGCTATTCAAATCATGAGAGCATTTTTCTTTGTGTTTAAGACTTTTCCTATTTGACTGGAGCAGAAAAAAATGGAACATCATGGTGAGGGCAGGTCCTCTAGGCCATACAGAACACATCCCCTCAAGCCTCAGACATCCCTTCATCTAGTTACCTGCAGTACAGTCTTAATTCTACAGGGAATCTAACACTGGCTTCTTCAGGGGAACTGCCCTGGTGCCTCCTGCTCCAAATAGGGCAGGAACTGTGATTATAGTGTTCAAGCAGCAGTGTGGAGGAGGGAAAGGGACAGAGGTGAGATGCAGAAGCTGGCTGGAAGGAATAAAGCCAAGAGCAGAAGATAGGGTAGGGGCAGGGAATTATATACTGAGACAAGTTAAGGAGCCAGTCCTGGGGGGATAATATTTAACCTGTCTCCCTGTGATACTACTAGGCAGTACTCCAAGTATTAAACAAATAGCTTGATAGACAACAGCTGCTTAGCCAAGCCATGCCTTACTCCTCTGACTACCATGCACAAACCTGTAACCATGCTGCTTACAGGCAGCCTGCAGAGCAGCTGGGTCTGCCATCCCAGTCTGTCCTGGGGACACTGCTTCTGCCCAGGAGACAGCCACAAAGACAGAGGTACACCGTGTGCTTTACTGAGCCTTGCTCTTTTCTTTTCAGAGCACAAGATGGACTCTTAGTACCACATAAGCTAGAGAGCAGAAATCAGTTTGTGAAATCCTTACGGGAGGCATTTGAGCATACCCTCAAAGAGGTGAGAGCGATCTCCATCTTTACTTCTCCATCCACTTCACGAGACACCAACCTGAAAGCAGCTGGGAAATAACTTACCTTAGAGAATATCCTCAGCACGGGATTTGTCCTAAACAGCCCAGTCCTCGTGTGAGGGGATGGAAGGCCAGCTTTGCCCTTACTGCCAAAATCCTAGTCAGTACTGCCCTTCCACATATTACTCTCTTCCCAGTTCCTCCCACCCCTGTCCTGCCTCCCTGTTGGACTGTCATCTTTATGTGATGGGTTTGTCAGGGGCTGGTGTATCTGCAGTTAGCTACAGAAATGTAAAATCCAACCTTTCTTTGAGACACCATTTTTGCATTGTTTCCTTTGGCTTCCTTCCCAGGGTAGGACACAGCGAGCACAGCTTGCCTGAAGGAATGCTTTAGGAACACTTTCCTGCTTTATTTCTACTTGTCTTCTCCCTCTAGGACATCCAGCTAGTAGAGGTGCCTGGGAGTCATTTTGTGCACCTGAATGAACCCGAGGTGGTGTCTGGGATCATCAGCAACTTCCTGACAGCGCAGAACACCAGAGCAAGGCTCTAAGCAGTCACTGCAACAGCAGTCCAGGACAAGAAGTAGCTCAAAATCTGACTCTGGAGAAACTGTCACCATTCCTACCTCACATCCAATGTCGGTTTCATGCTACTTCTTCCTAAGCTGAGCTCTCTGAAGGGGTGAATGCAGATCTGCAAAGTTAGATACACAGTAGCTTTCCCCTTTCTTCTTCCTAACTTCTGTATCCTAAAATGGATCAGGAATACAGGCAGAAGCTCCTCAGGGAGCAGCAGCACTAGCAGCTGTAGCAGTGCAAGAGAGAGGTAGCTCATTCTTTCCTCCTCTCTCAGCATGAAGTGACAAGTCTCCTCCCAGGGCTAAGCCAGTTGAAAAAAAACAGGAAAGAGTTCTGCTTCTCTGCTTATTTCCACGATTGCCTGAGCTCAGGCAGCCTCAACCTCTCTTCTACTGTGAGGGCTGCTGCTTTTTTTAATAATCAGCTTAAATGAGAGCTCACCTGGGTACAGAAGGCCATTTCAATGAACTGCTGGGAAATGAGTCATTAATCCTCTAGCTGAAGCAGCTGTGAGAACTATTAGTAATGGAAAAGTTGGCAGAGGTGATTTCTGTCCTTCTAAATAAAGATTGATCTTCCACTGTTAACACTGTCGTCTTTGACTTTACAGAAGAGTGAACCTTTCTTGCAGGATGCTCACCCAAGCAGCTCAAGTGCCAATCTTATGAAGCAATGATTTTTCCATGCATTCTGCTTTGGATATTTCATGTTAAGTATCCATCTACCTCCTACTTAAATGGATGCAAAAAGCCATATGAAGCAAGCAGGCCTGGCAATCTCCTCATGCAATGGAAGCTGAATATACAGTGGATTTTCTAGAGGACAGTGAATGTACTTTAGCTTAACTGTGTCGGATTTATCAGCATTTCCTACATATGCTCATGGTCACTCCCTTACTGAGGCTGCGGGCAGTAAAATAAATGTTGCATGCTAGAGGTGCCTTCTTTCACATCACAACAGCTGTCACAGGCTGCTAGCATCAAGTTGCAAGTTATGTGATCAGCAGCAAAAGCACTGCCCAACAACTGGGTGTGCATGTTGCCATCCTTACCTGCCCTCCTGTGGGCTGGCAGCAGATTTTGTGGAAACACCCTGGAGTCTGGTTTATCCCTCCAAAGCTAGGCTGTCCTCTCACTTTGTCTAGTGACAGTGCTGAATGGCAGTGGTTCCCACTGTAGCCCAGGCTACACCTAGCTGCAGAGACCCAAATACAGCTGGAAGGGCATCTCAGCACCCAGCTGAGATAGAGCTGCCTGGGAGGGAAGCACCAAGAGAAAAGGTAGGGCTCTGTACCAAACCACTGATCTCCCCCAGTGACAGCAGGTCTGGGAACTTTCCAGTTGTTTGTTTCCAGGCTTTCTCTCCCATTCTTCATTGCCCCCAGATAAATACCTAAAGGACCTGGCACTGGCACATAAGCCATGGCTTTTATCACCAACCTAGTCCAGTACAGAAGACACTGTTCCCCACAACACAGCAATGGAGAAAGGGGCATTCCTGCCTTTGAGGAGCAGCACCAGTTTATTTACAATTCTTCAGCCATTCCCTGCCCCTGCAGAGGTTGTGTTGGGCAAATACTGTCTCTTACCAAACTTCAGGAGGGCCTTGGTTGGCACAGAGATACAGGCTGTCAGAAGACACGCCTCAGCCCCCTTGGCCCATGCAAATAGGGAAATGGTACTGGATGATGTCAGTGCAGGCACAGCCATGAGAGCAGGAAGATGCAGTGCGACTGAAGCCAATGCTCCCACATGAGATCCAATGGCAGGGATATGAAATTGCCTCAGTTCCTCGAAACCCTATGGCACGTGAGTCTGTAAGCATCTCTCCTGCCCTCTCCAGCACAGGCATCAGAAGAAACAGCTCAGCTCAGTATGGCCTAAACTTGCGCTGGGCTCGCATCAGTGCAATTCTCTGCTTGTCCTCCTCAAATTTCTTCCTCAACTGGGCAATATCTGAAACACACAACAAAAGAAAGGCAACAGGTCACAGGGGAGCAGCAGACCTCCCTCTTCCTGTGGAGCTTCACTTCTGCACACTGGAAGATGTTCCGTTCAGACAGCTGCAAGCACACATTGCTCAGAACAGGTCCTTTTGCGTCAGGGCTAAGTGCAGAGCTGAGGCTCCAGGTGCTTTGCAGTGCTGCAGCTCCCTCTTGGGGAAGGAACACACTAGTTCTCCCTTCCCGTGGCTGCCTCTGTGCAGACTGACAAAAACATCTGTAGCACAAAAACAATGGTACCACAAATGGTACCATTTGTCCACTCTCGCAAAGAATATTCCAACAGCCTCTGCTAGGCCAGGTAGTGGCAAGGGATCCCCAGGAACTGGCTAGACCATTTGCCCAGCCTCCCAGCCAGCTGTTCAACTGCAGCTGGATGTAGCTCCACTGAAAGAAAAAAAGATGTTCTTTGGGCTACAGCATGATTCAGAGAAGGGTAGAAGGCGATTCAGACACTCACGCTCTCTCTTGGTCTCACGATGCTGCCAGGCATAGAAGTTGAGCAGCTCTTTGCGGGCCTTTTTCCGCTTCTCCCTCTCCAGCACCCGCAGGTTGGCAGCCTCTGTCCGGGGCAGGCCAGGCTTGCGGCCCTTCCGTGTTACCTTCACCCAGCCCTCCTCATCTGGTAAGCCCTCCTCCTTGGCTGCTTTGGCTTCTTCCTACAGAGACAGAAAGGTGAGGCAGCTCAGTACAGCTGGGCTGTCAGCCAGTCTAATGCAGGGCTCCTCCAAGGTCCCACTCCGACACACGGTTACAGCTCCTAGTACAAGATTTGAAGGAAGGCATGGGACCAGGCACTCAAGTCACAACACTGCATGCCAGACAGGACCTGTTTTATTTGTGGGTGCCTACTGGGAGCCCTGGATGGATGGGCCAGTTGTAATGAACCAAACCAGCAATCCTGCCAGCCAGTGCTTTCCCTCTGCCACTTCTATTAGGACCTGGGCACTGAGAGATCCTTTCCCTCTGCCTTTCTCTCCACAAACAAACTGCTTAGCTGGGTTCCCTCCCCAGCCTGGCCTCACCTCCGCTATCCTTTTGTCATAGTCTTGCATGTAGGCATCCACCTCAGCCTTCAGTTCTTCTCGATCCACTACCGAGTCTGCGTATCTGGCAATCCACTCTGAAACATAGAGCAGAAGTCAACTGTAGCCTCCTCTAGAAGCAAATTTTGGTGTAATGTCTTTCAGCAGCTCCAGAGAGAACTGCTGTGGGAAAGAACACCCTTGGTTCCCACTTCCATTCAGCCTCCCCACTACCTTAGCTTATGCACGATTTGGCTACCAGAAGAAAAGCATTAAGTAATGGGAAGAGAGTGCAACTTTCCAAGGAGAAGCAGACTATCCTGGAACCCAAGAAATGCAACATTCAATTCTGTGTTTCCACCAATGGTAACATGCAAAGTGTTGACACCTTGACAGCCACGTGGTGCCTGGCTTCAGTTTTCAAAGCAAAACACAGCCAGTCTCTCTGAATCTACATGATATTGAAGAGATGTGGGGAAAAACTGCCCTTCCGATGTACTAAGAGCCCTTGTCTTCCTGCAGGGTCACTCAGCCAGGGCCTACAACATCCAATAGAATAAGCTATCAACAAGATGATGTGTTTAGCAGGTATAGTGGATGGTTGGATGCAATGATATTAGCGATCTCTTCCAACTTTAATTATTCTATGATTCTAAGATACAATAAGAAAAACAGAACAATAAAATACTGCACATCTTCCCAGTCCAGGCTTAATACAAAATGGTGAACAACTTGGAATGTGTCAGGAAGGATTCAGTGAGGAAATTTTTCCCCTGCTCTGGTTAACAGGAACGCAGCTGTTGCTTACTTACTGCTAATGCCAGTTTTCACAGGGTGACTCTCTGTTGATATCAACAATGGACCTTTCTGTGATAGTGCCTTGGCTGCCTGGACACCAGCTGGTGTCTTGAACACCACATATGCAACTCGAAATCCCTAAAAGAAGACAACACCCCCAGGATGGTCAGATATACTGTGGGAGTTGGAGACATACAGAGATCAAATCACAGGTTCCAGTAGGATGACAAAAAAAAAAAAAAAAAGCAACAAATTTAAGTCCTACTACCATGTTGGTGAGACCCAATAGCAGTCTTCCAGTATCCAAAGGGGGACAGAGGAAAGGGGACAGACTCTAGTCTCAGAGCCAGTTGGGGTAGGACAAGGAGAAATGATTTAGATTGGGTGTAGGAAGAAAGCATTTTACACTCAGGGTGGTGAGGCAGTGGCACAGGCTGCCCAGAGAGGTGGCGGTTCCTCATCCCAAGGTCAGGCTGGAGGGGCTCTGAGCACCCTGATCTACCCATAGGTGTCCCCGTTCACTGCAGGGGAGTTGGACTGGGTGCTTTTAAGTCTCTTCCAGCTTAGGACTCTATACACCCCCCTCAAGCAGTTTTCCCATAACTCACGCTCCACTCACCACCACCACTCAGTACTTGGGATTTCTTCCCATTCTGATCACTAAAGCACCACTACCCCCCTGGCCCCTTACCGTTGCCGTTCTGTTGGTGAAGAACTTGGACGTGCGTTTTTCTGCCTTCTCTCCCGGTCCCGGTTTGTCACGGAGGTCCACAGACTGCACGGCCCCACAGCAGGAGAACAGACGGGACAGCGCGTCCTTCACGCAGGGGGACAACCGGCAGAGAACAACAGGGATGATTCCCATCCATGCCTTCCCAGCGCACCAATCCCCGCGCTGGCGGCTCCCAGTCGAGCCCCTCGCAGCCCCCCCCCACCCCGCTCACCGGGCTGCAGTACGGGGGGACGTTGAGGACGAACAGGGTGCGCTGCGGCGGATGCGTGTCCGCGGGCCCTTCCCGCACCCGGTGCTCCTTCACCAAGAGACAGTGCGGCGAGCGCTGCCGCGCACCGAACTTCACCGCCAGCGCTGCGGGCGACAAACAGGTTAAACACCCCGCCGCCGCGACTCTTATCCCCCCTCTCCCCCGCCGCTCCTCACCCATGTATCCCGGCGGCGCGCTCACCGCCACGCGCGGCTCGGCGGCCGCCATCTTAGCACGGGGGGAAGCGGCGGCCCAGGGTGCTGCCGGGAGCTGTAGTCTGCGGCGCTGCTAATGGCGGCGGCTGCGGCGCCGTCAGCGCGCCGAGCCCCTCCTTCTCGCTATAGCGCCCTCATCTCTGTTCAGGTGCAACCTGGAGCCTCGGCACGTACCCGCTCATCACCCAGAGCCACGGCTTGGTCTCCTAACGCCGCCAGCGCAGATGGGGGGCAGCGTGGAATGCACTCCGCTGGCTGAATTCCCTTTTTTTTTTGGCAAGCACGAGGGAACGGGGACATAGCTCGGCGGTGCCAAAGAAAATCCATCGCTTGCGTGAGAGAAGTTGAGCGCCTTTCCCTGAGGACCAGTGAGCCCTCAGCACTATACAGTCACTGCACAGCTCACGAGGAGGAGCTTTCCAAAGGCTGTATCAAGGTAAAGCCAAGTTGATGCCTCCAAAGCTAATTGTTAAACATTTTTGTCTGGCGCAGCTATAGATCCAAGGTTGAAACTCCACTGTAAGTTTCATTAGTCCTCCTTATCTAGGAAAAACAGCCTTCCTGTGATGGAGTGTTTCTCTGCAAAGATCCGAGACTGTCCTAAATTAAAACAAGAACAGACACCTTGAAGATCCTTGAGATGAGGCACAAGTCCAAAACAGTGACCGCTGAGAAAATGAAGCGTCCTTGTGACCAAAGGGGGCTAAGGCAAGGAGGACACCCCCCAAACAACCAAAGACCACTGAAGACCCCTGCAAGTGCAGAAGATTAAAATATGTTATGTAACTTTCTGCTTACATAATCCTGTGAACATATAATAAGCAGGCATGACCTAGGTAGGAGCGTAGTGAAACTTTCTGGACTGTAAAAAGCCAGTGTAGATGGTGTGTATGCTTGGTTTGCAGAGATTTCCCACCCTGCACAGAATAAATCAACATCTCTCTAAACACTTGTCTTTTTGAATGTGTCTCAGGAGGTTTAAAATCAACAACAAACCCACTGGCTCAGATTTTCTGATGGTAAGAAAACAGATGTCACCGGGCTCAGGGGGATGCATGCACTGGATGAAAACAGAAATGTAGGAGGAAGGTAGCTGCTATCCTAATCCAAATAGAAGGAGGCATACAACCCAACTAAGACAAGAGGTCCCTTGTACCTGCAGACTATGCAGCCTTAATTAAAGTCAGACACCCACTCTAATCTCCAGGGGAAAGCTGCTGACCCCCACCTGGGCTGGGAGGCATGGACTCCAACTTCAACTTGCTTCGTAAGGTGGCAGGCAATTCACAGGTACCTTGAACTGAGAACAGTACTGTGTGCATGCTGGAAGAAGTGAGTGCCAAGCATCACAGAAAGCCTACCAAAAGATGGTAATGGAAACAGCAACCAGCAGTACTGCATGAAAAGACTTGCAGAAGGAATGCAAGAATATTGTGCTAAGCAAACAACCAGTGATGCACCAGCAGATGAGGAAAAGCCAAGTTTTCCTTAGCACTGTCTACAATTGTGGAAAACAGTTCTAGTTCAACTTTCTTTTTTTTTTTTTTTTCCCCCTTCTCCATGTGGTAATGGGGCACAGATATGGGAAATAACTGAGTCAGGCACAAAAGATTAAAAGGAGGCACTTGGGCAGAAGTAGTATCTGTCTGGAGGGGTTATATTGCCCAACAGTTTGGTGACAGAGGTATTTCTATACTTCAGTTCCTCTAGAAATCCTTGGTGAAGGACTATGGAAATATAGTATTATTTTATATAAAAGAATGACACCTAGAGTCCCTGCATTATGATGTGCTCTGACAGGAAGCTTATTACACACAGACATTATTTTTAGCAGTTCTGAAATGAAGACCTCAAAAGCAGTATAAAGCAGCCAAATTTGCTTAACCCTAGCAAGGCAAATAAAAGAAGAAATACTAAAAAGACGTAAACTTCTCTCACTAAAAGAGAACAGTAAGAACAACTATTCTTAAAGACTCTTGTCAGTCGGGAAACATAAAAGACAACCTTTACAGAAGAAGCTGTATTTATGATGGGAACGGAAGACAGCACGCTCCAAAAGATCTTGAATCAAGACGTATGAGGTGAAAGGCTAGTGAGAGTAAGAAATAATACAGACAGCTGACTCGAACAGATATCCAAGCCAATGAATGTTACCAGAGGAAATGGTAAATGCAAGAGCTACACCAGGCAAACTTGTCAGTCGCTTTAGAAGGCAGCATACTTGAAAAGCAAAGGAAAATAGAGAAACACTATCACAAATTACCCACCACCTACCTGTCCTGTTAGCATTGTGTTAGTACAAGCAGTCAGTATTTCACACACAAGCTTACAATCTCTTAGCAGCCTAGAAATAACAAAAAATAAATTATTTATATATGTATGTGTATATTATACATATGAAACCATGCTGTATCAGGGCAAATATGCACAGATGTTAGGTCAGAAGGTGGTAGGTGAGATCAGCAGAATGTGAACAAGAATAGCATGATAATTCCAGGACAGCAAGAAGAAATTTGACAGCTGCAAGGCAAACTGTTTGAACAACCCTAGAACTAACTGCAGGTTACTCTTTCAGTTCCTTCCGAATCAAGCCACTCTATGAAGAGCTAGAAGGCTTGGGTTACTTTAGAGTTAACTGACTGTAGGAACAGGAGAGCAACGCACACCAGAACCCTACTGTAGGATAAACCATAGAGAGGTGTTTAGACAATCTTTGACTTGAAGGATCAAAAGAAAATATTTACTGCACAGATCAGAGCACAAGATCTTCCAAGGAAGTATGTTAATATCATCATAATTTATCACGGGTAACTCAAATAATGCATGACTGAACAGTGAGTTATGAAGTGCAGTTTCTTGCTGTTTGGCTTTTGTAATGGACATATGTTAATCAATGAAAAATACGTTTCAGTCTCTCAATTCTTTCAGAAGAGACAAGATACACAATTACAGTGGAAGTCTTCACATTTTCACAGCCTTAATTTTTTATTATCTGGCTGATAATGAAAGCACCCTACTTTATCTGGAATGGGTACTCTGACTTCAGAGCTGCAATATTTTTTTAAATTGCTTTCTGAAAATCACTAGTCTGTCAATAACAAATTGACATTCCTTTCATGTGACAAAGAAATTAGAACTAAGTGGGGGGGACAAATCGTACCTATCAACTACAATCAGCTAATCCAGATCACCAAAATCAGTAAATGTCAACTTTCTTATTCATATACTCTTGCTCTTCCTTCACACTACCAGCTGCCTGTGGTATTACTGACGCAGGAGCAAGATCAGAGATCTGAAATTTTTTAAAAAGCAAGCTCGATTCAATATTGAACTCTTACCTACTGATTTTCAGTTGCTTTACATCATCTAAAAAGGCTAAGAATCATCTAAGAATCCAATCTCTGTATAACAAATGTTTATTCAGAAACAGATAATACATAATCTTCTCCAGCCCTAACATTTCTCCCCCCTCCCCCCAATTTTTATTAAAACACAATTGTTTGGTGGGTGATCTAAGGAAAGGAACAACACCTGTCTTAAGACCCCTCCCTTACAAACATCTGCTGGTCACGTGAAGCACCCCACCAATACCAGTGTTTTACTAGATTTCCAAACCAAAGAGAATAATCTGAAAAAACAAGTCCTGTCAAGTCCCCAGTTATTTTCATGGCTAAGAGGGACAGTGTGAGATAAGGAATGGTTTGTACCAGCTAGATAGAGCAAAGAGTTACTAGAGAATAAGAAGGCAAAAGAAACACAGAGTTGACCAAGAATTGGGATCTGGACCTACGATTACAGAAAGTTCACTGAAGTTCAGCAGACCTGAAAAGAGTGGCTTAGGTCTGTCTTCTAGCTCCAAGACTCAAATTCAAATCCCAACCAGACTGTAGCAGTGGCATCTTTTCCTCTCTTATAATATAATTTGAACTAATACAAATGGAGCTACGGGGGCTTCAAACATCCATGACAAAAATGCTGTACTGACAAAGTACTCAAGTGCCACCTAGTGGCCTGTAGCGCATCACGGATGTTCATGGGCCAAAGTTGTGTCCTTGCTGCTCACACAGCACATGCGTAGCACTCCTCTCCAGTGTCTCCTCTTACAGAGCACTACCTGCTCTCCAAAATCTCTCCTTGCAGCAAGGAAGCACAGCGATCATCCTCCAAACCCACCTAAGCAAGCTGCATGCCTGCACAGCAGCCAAACATTGCCCAAATATATATCTCTCAGAAAGGTGTTAAGCAAGTGAAGACTGCTTACATGCTAGTACTGGAAAAAGGCCCCAGCTCCTTCCTTTTCATAAAAGGAGACTGGTTAAGTCAGAAGGTAAGAAAAAAAAACATCCCCGCATTAGCAGGAAGATGCAATGCAATAGACTGGGAACAATCACCAGGATGTCCTCTAGCTCCAAACACAATCCTGGTTGTTTTTCAGACCAGAAAGGAGAGAGCAACTCCACTCACCCTAAAGGGCTAATAAATTGATTATACAAATGTCAGAGCCTTTTTCCCTCCCACCTTCAGTATTACCAGAGTTGAAGGATCCCTCCCATAGCACAACAGTGCAAAATGGGTGCTGCACTTGTGCTTATGTCCATTCTGCCCAAAGCTTCCACGGGCTGCTATACACAGTGGGAAACTCAGTTTTTCATGTATTTTCTCAACATCACAGCTGCCGAGCAGAAAAATATTCAGCAGTCAGAATTAAACCGTACGCAATTAAATGCATTTAAGTCCAAGATGCAAGATGGCACAATTCCTATATGCAACCACACCTGATTTGGTACTTGGTGCAGAAATTTCAGAAACTATGCACTGTTCTTGCACGATGAAAATCAAGAGAATGCATCTTTTAGTTAAAGGTAGGTCAGAAGAGAAGAGATTGCCAACCCTTCCTTCAAAGTCTATGTGCACTTTTAATGGCCACTAGGGGCTTTGGAGTAAAGGAGGGAGTTACATGGTATATGCTTAGTAATATTATTACTGGCAGAAGGGGGAGGTTATTCTCTTGGAAAAAAAATTGTGGAAGAAAACTCCAACTATGAAAACAGAAAGTACACACACAAAAGGAAACACTACTGTACAGTAAGGTAGCAATCA